ACGGATATTTAACGGGAGGGAGGCATCTGATTAAGAAAATTCGTGACACTTTGCCGATGATTACGGGAGAGAGGGAGACTTTTAGTGGCTCCCATTCCACATTTTCTGTTCTGCTCTGTTTTAGGCTGCTGCTGCAGTAGTTGCAGCTCGCAGCTCGCAGCTCGCGGAGGACACTACAGGGGGTGAGGAAGAGACCGTGGGGAAGATACGCTGCCGAAATAAGGGATCCATGGAAGAAAACAAGGGTATGGTTGGGTAGGTAGCTTTGATACACCCGAGGAAGCTGCTCTCGCTTACGACAGCGCTGCCAGGTCTCTCAGGGGAGCTAAAGCCAAGACAAACTTCCCGGCTCCGGCGACTGCTCAATCTTCGACCTCAACGTCCCTTCGGACCGCTGGGCCTGTCCTCCTGGCGGTTTTATATTCGGTGAGTACTTGCAGACGCGCGTTCTCAAGGAGGTGAGCTCCGGAGGTGGTCCTTCGGTAAGAGATTTCCTTGCTTCGGGCGAGACTCCGGCGGCGGAACCCACTTTCGGGATTGCGAGATGGGTTCTGTCGATCGACTTGAACGATACCCCGCCCTCTACGACATCGCCTCTGTGCTTGATATGAGAAAGGAAGAAGAGAAGCTGTTTTTGCGTTGGTTGTTTGCTTATTTCACCAGCTCTTCCTTCTTTGCCTTGCGTTTTTTTCCTTTTGTTTCTTCTTGGATTCGCTTTTTGGATAACATATATTTTAGTTATTCGTTACATGAAACGAAACATGTCATGTTCTACTTCCACATTCCGAGCTCGCCAATCTTTTCTCTTTGTCTTTCATCTTGTTTATTTTTTGTTGGTTGGAGTGGTGGCATCAAACCCTTCGCTTACAGCTCCTCCGTCTCTCTCTCTCTCTCTCTCTCTCTCTCTCACACACACATTTTTTCTGCTTGGTCTTTACCGTGTTTTCCATCGGTCCGCGCCAACTAATTGCGATGACGTTCTAATTGTAATTAATAAAGAACAGAACCGTAAATAAACGATCTGTCAATTCGCGAGATATCAGTAGAACGGGACCAACTACCAAATTCTCTTCTCGGGCCCGAGGGGCATGACTGGGACCTGGGTCAGTGTGTTCACGTACGTGTGTGGTCTATTTTAATTGTGTTCGTCAATTCGGGTGAGTGGCTCGGGCTTGGGGCCCTGTCTGTGTGTGTCAGTCACTCCTTCCATTTCTCGGAATCTGGATTCGATAGTCCCTAACATCTCACGCGAATTTCATCGAACACATAAAAGGCCAAAAGTAGATGAACAAAAAAAAAGGCAGAGAGAGAGAGATACTAAGCAGAGGACACGCAAGTCCTCGCTCCACCTAATACAAAGTGTCAGCCTGGCCGGCTCCGGCTGGCTTTAATTACGAGAAAGAACAGCGACGGGTTTCGACGCTCGTGTGGTCCCCTCTTCCCCCACGCGCTTCTTTTTCTCCTTTTTCTACCCTTCCACTCTCTTTAACGTTTGCTTACGCTGGGGCCCGCCTTGCGTCCACGTGCTTCGACGCGCCGTAAATGACCCTCAAGATTGTCGGCAACGGAGCCATCACGGCGGTCCGCGGACGCTACCTTCTAATTAATCCCCACTCACCTCCGTCCTCCTGTCGGTGACGGCGGCTGCTTTCCGGTTGCTTCGTTGACGCCTTGACAGTCGTCCAACCAGGGAGCAGCATCACTTCTGGCTTTCCGTTTTTTTAATACCCCACCGTCCAGAAAACGCTGAACCAACCGCTATCGTTTCCTTCCATACATGACGGATGATGTATACCGATGCCATACCATCATCATCCATCATACCATACCATCATGATGAATCGATTATCTTGGTAATCTAATGTAGATGAAGTTACTCGCAACAAAACTCCGCCGGCTCACTGATTATCTTGCCTGTCATTATCTAGCTTTTGTAGAGTATAATGATAAATAAATAAATGGGAGAATGAGTGTTCAGCTAATTCTTAACATGAATCTGGACCGTGGATCGATGTTAAATCCACGACCAGGATGCGATTTATAGGGACTATTAATGGATCAAAACTATAATTTCAGATTTCTGCGGTAGAGTGCAGTCCACTTGTTCCTAAATGGAATTTGAGAATTAAGTACAGGTATGCCACGCGCAACACACACGTGTTTATCTGTGGGAAAGCTGAACGTCCGGTAAAATACCGTATACCTGACACAAAAACTGAGTAGCCATCTCTACCGTACATCTCGATGGACGAACAAGGGGAGCACTACGCTTGGGGGCGCACGTTATACGGAGACATCGGCAGTCAAGAAAAGTGACTGAAGTGAGAGCCTATCGGTGTGTCTACACGTGTAGGGGTGCAGGTACTGGCTGCTTAGGGTGCAGGTACTGGCTGCTTAGGGTACACGTGTACGAAGGTTGTAGTAAAAGAAAGTGGAGAAATTCCGGGGTTGGCAGAGATGAGTTACCGATGAAAGATTAAAAAAAAAAAACGGGAAAATCTATGGTGCAGAAAAGATTAAAAAAAAAAAAAAACTTAACACGTGGCAAGAATAGACGTATCAAAGACTAGAACCCTGACGATTTGAATTTTGAAGTGAGACATCGAGAATATTATTCTCTACATTCAGAATTTTGATAAAAGCCTTCCGGACGGCGCCGGAATCAGAAGCCTGAGACGAAGCCGGTAAGTCCCGAATAATTCTATAGTTGTGAGGTCGCTGCCTCGTTTGGCAATTACAGAGAATCAAACGATGGAACTGGAATGGAAGGTGAGTGGAAGTGGAGGGGAAAGCAACGCAGCACCATCCAATTCAAATTCAATATCAAGAAATCTGCTTAAAGCGAGCGGCAGCCGTACAAGAGATTATTGACTAGACATGAATATAAAAATGGTCGAGTTTTCAAAGTGGAGTAGTTAATCACAATAACCAAGCTGGATGCCGAGTGCCGACAGCTCCATGGTCCATCTTCCCTCATTTAGTGAATATCTCTGCTTGACGCCATCACTAGGCCAGAATAGCTTAGTTGATTGGGGATCGGGTCTGGTCAAATGGTCCAGAGGATGCGCTCTCCATATCCCACACTACTCTCCCCCCTCTTTCAACTCAGCATTGACCAGGCCGAAAGATACACAACAGCTTGCCCACTTTCCGGCTTTCAGATTTCGTCTCCACTGTCCACCACACAAACCTGAACCCCTTTGCCTCTAAATCCTAGTAGTGTCCAATGAGCCTCCCTTGCTGTACAAACCACTTTTGTCACGGAGTGTTGGTGGGTTCCACATGGAGGAGTGCAATACATGCATTTTACCTGCATGTCAGGGATGTAAATGGGTCGGGTTTGGTTTGATCCAAGCCCAGAAGGGAAGGGATGATTTAACCTAACCCAAAGTTCAAGGTATCCATCCATCCATGCACCTGATATGCATGAAATGTGTTATGCTAAAAAACATCAAAATTTTAAAACTCTTACTATTTATGTGTTTCTAATAACTAATATCACATCCACACTTCAAACCTTTTTGAATCACATCGATACTTTAAGGGTAATTTATTAAACATCCCCTATAATTTTATGGATTTATTAAAACTTATCCTATAATTTGTGTTTTACTAAAATATGCAATCAATTTACTTAATCGACCTTCCATTAAGTAAAAATAAAAATGCTATTTTTGCCCCTAATACAATATGAATAATCACTCTAATTTTTCTTTATTTGGTCAATTTTGCTTTCTATACAAAAGTTGTCAGGGTACTTTTGGAATAAACAACCATGGGTCCATACCCTTAAACATTTTTCACTTAGTTTAGGTGATAGGGAGTGTTCAAATAAATGACCCTCCTTTAAACCTAATATGTTGTGCCTATATACACGAATTTTTCAATGTGCAGGTTCACACTAACCCAACCAACCAAAAACCCAATTGAGGCCAACCCAACTCTAGCCCGATAGGGCCAGGTCAGTGTAACCCAACCCACTAACATCTCTGTGCAGTATAAATCATTAAATTGATCTCCCTTCACAATTTAGGCCCGATTGTCCACTATGGAAGTTGAATGGAGACTAGGGCTAGTAGTGCAGCACTACTTACTCCCAAGAAACTTTTGATTTTTAACTTTGAATTTTAACTTTAGACGATTCTATCAGAACTTCCCATCTCAAGTAACCCTTGTCTCTTAGCTGTGATGTGATTGAAGACACCCAGAACCAATGTTCTTCGTTGGCAGAAAATAAAAAGAAAAAGAAAAGGCAATTTTTTTTGTGGTCACTTTGTTATAGTAATAATAGGGTTGGTCAACGTTACAACTCACGCTGTTAGCTTTCATGAACAGCACCTAACTGGATAGAAAGTAACACGTGGGACAAAAGCTTGGGCACTAGGCACTAACAACATCATTAAGCTCTGGTTTCTTGGCCTCTCTCTGAGTGATCTAATTGGCCCTCCACCAATTTTAGTCTTTGGCCCCAGAACTACCTTGATGAAGGGCAGCCTGAGATAGCCCCCCCCATCTTGTATTCTTGTTTACTGTGAATGTGAAGGAATGCTTCTATCATTACAAATTCAGGAACCGACCATCCTTCTAGGTCTCCCCTTGTAAAGCAAATCCCTTTCGAAAGCAGAAAACTGGTGAAAACCTACCTATCTCTGACTGTCAATAATAACCAAATCCCTTATTAGCCAATGCTTTAAAAAGAATCTCCAAAGAAGCTCTAAGAAATCTAAGAGGAAAGTATGTTTTTGTAAAGTAAATAAAGCTAATCTGTGAGACTTATTGATGGTGTCCTACTTTTGGACTGGTAGTATGTTATCCTCTTTCTAGGGTCCTCCCCTCTCTCTGTCCACACATTTCGAAATTCCCTCCAAGCCCAATGACTTGGTCGCCAGTAATACACCACCCTCACCCCAATTTTACTAATAAAATCAAACTGCAGTCGGTTGGTGGAGTTTATACTTAAAGCCCACAGCTTTCCAAACAAAATAAAAACAACTAAGATAAGCAAGGAAATGGAAAAAGATATATTTTATTACTAACCTATTACAATGACAACAATCACCATCCGCTACAAAGGCAACTTCGAGTGAAAGATAGCACCACCACAAAGGCAAAAAACATGAAATTTACAGTTACTAAACAGTGATTGTCAATGGATAGAAACAGAGTACATTTCGTCTTCGGTAAAGATTTACTATTAATAGGCATACTGTACAAATATTTTTGAGCCGCTAAGCATCTTCATTATCACTCATACTAGGGCGGGTATCAAGGTAAAATTCTGACTCAGCTCCATCAACGATCCTCCCCCTGTTTTGGTTAACAGACAAAAATACAACAGAAAACAAATTATTTGGTGTGTGAAGATCTAGAAATGAAGGAGAAACAATTTTAAACCAAATCAATGAGCAACCTCACCTTTCCAGAACAAACTTCCCTTCTTTGTACTTTTGGCTTTTGTCGTGTGCTGCCTCCTGGATGTGATAATGGAACAAGTAGGGACCAGGAACCATGATAAAAAGCTAGAGGTCTCCAATACATTAACATCATTTACTCGTTTAAGAGAAGATATAACGCCTATGGCTATGGCACATAACCAAACCACTTTTTTCTGCTTTAGCCACATGGTTTTTGTGTATCTCTCTTAACTTAAATAGATAATTTAGTAAAAACACAAACTATTAAGAGAACTCACATATTTCCAGCCAACTATTTGTCCACAACAGCAACAAAATATATCTGCTACAGTATGCATTCCAGAGAGCATCATTCTTTCTTCTTGGGCCCCCACTATGATATTGACCCTGAAGCATTTCAAACATAAAATTAAGTATGAAGCAGATAAATCTACTCTTTCAAAGCTCTATTCATAGCTCAATGTAGATGCATGCAAGAGTTTTGGTATTGGAAATGAAAACTCAGTTTTATTTTATTTTATAACTTTGTTTTGGTTGGGGAGGCATTAAATTCCAATTCTCACTTGAGAAAACAGACGCAAAACTCAATGCAGTGGTTGTCACAAAATACCAAGGAAATTAGTGCAAAAAATTATTATGATCATTACTACATACATGCAATTTGGTGAGTTTATCTTGTAGCACAGTGCACAGAAAACACAACCACAAGACCACCTGTGAAGAAGCCATTTAATTAATTACAAGAGAAATCTCATTCCCTAGATTAATATTTTTCCAAGTCAAATAAGGGAGGCCATGGGATTTGGGGGAGAGTGACAAGTGATTAAGGTGTTGACATTTGTTGGAATTATATGATAAAGCTAAGAAGCAGTTAGGGCATCGTTATTGTAACTTACAGACTATTGTTTTCTTATTAACGATATTATAGTGAGTTGTTTTTTCATCAATAACCTCAAAATTTATTAATAAGAGCAAATATTAGCAAGTACAAAGCATAAAAGTACAGAACAAAGACTGTGAGAGATAAAACCTCTTATCTCTCCCCAAAATGCCCCATCTCCCTTACAATTGTGCTCAAAACAAAGAATCTCTCCCCACACCCCTGCTTGGCTCATCCACTACAGAATTAGCACTCCGCTTGGGCCCTAGACTTACTCCCATGTCTCTACTCTCTAGTTAACCACCTGATTCTCTTCCTGATCTTATACTGAGTTTTGTTTAGAAAGTTTACAAGTATGAGCAACTTGGCGTCCATATCCATCTGGAATTTATACTCAATCTTCTACCTCTTTCCTCCACAACCGAGACCTTTAATCAATATTACTTATTCCACCAAGGTTTCCTTACAAAATTAGTGAAAAGCGCTTCAAGACGAGTTTGTATGTGTTCGTGTGTTTTTTTTTTTTTTTGGGGGGGGGGGGATATTCATGGCTGCAGGACCCCAACAGAAGTGGGGTAGGGGGAGAAAGATTTTACATGCTTCCTTATCATATCAACAACTTCAACATAGCATAAGTTGGGAAATGACCACAGATAACAAGGTTAAAAAGCACCCTATTGGGCTATCATAATCTACTAAATCATTTAATCCCAGCGCTAAAGTTTTAGATGCAAAATTTTTTTTTTTATCAATAACACTTTCATTAATTCACCAGTAGAAAATTTACAAGTGGAAGACAAACACACTTATCTTCCAAGAGTCACAAAGAGCTTCAAGAAAGGAAAAAAGAAAATACAAAGACACTAACATTACAGCTTAGCCCAAAACAATGAATCCCTTTCTGCCCCTTGTTTAGCTAAACCGTCAGCTAG